GGTGGCATTAATGTGTGCTTGGAGCACGGGAGGGCTCGAAGGTTGGGCTGCCACCGGAGGGTCCGGTCCTTCGTTAAAGCCAGTAGGGCGCCCCGCACCTACTGGTCCTGGTCGTTTTTTGAATGAGCGACCGAGGAGTGTTCCGCGTCGACGTGAGAGACGACGGGAGCTGGCGCGCGGCACTCCGCCGCGCGATGACCCTTCTTCCCACAGCGGAAGCAAATGAGGGAGCGATTGCTTCGCCCAGCGCTGCCGCGGTAAGACCCGCGACGTCGATTGCTCGACGTGTTGATGGCGTCGATCTCCATGGGCTCGGAGGTAGACGCCCGGGCTTCCGCAGGTATGGCTGCGGCGTACGATGCAGCGACCATGTAATCCTCGCGAATCGCGAGGGCAAACGCCTCCTCGAGAGAGGAGGGCTCAGCTCTGGTGAGGCAGTAGCGGGTCATACCCTCGCGCATGCCGAACACAAATACGTGGACTTGCGAGGCCATGTCGATTGGCTTAATCACGATGCATGACGCCAGATGTCGCGTCTTCTGGACGTAATCACGCATGGACATCTGCCCTTGCCGCAGAGCGAAGAACTCTGCGCGAACACGAGACTCATCTTGCGGGGGCTCGAACGCGAGACGCAAGTCGCTCTGGAGAGTTCCCAGAGTCGGGAAAGCCTCGGGGTCGACAACCAGCTTCCCGAGGGCCCATTCTTTGGCCTTCCTGGTTAATCGGGAGAGGAGGAAGTTCATCTTGGCCGATGACGCCTCGATGCGTCGCGAGGCGATAGCGATGTCGATCTCGCGGAACCACCGGTTTAGCGGAAGCCGGTTTTCACCGGCGCCAGAATACGTAGACGTCTCCATCTTGACGACGTCATTCTGGGATGGACGCGAGGGAGTTGACACCCGCCGATTCGCATCGGCGAGCTCGCGTTCCATGAACTCTTGTGCTGCAAGACGTTGCTGGTCGGGCGTCGCTGAGCTCAGCAGCGATGCGACGACAGCGTCTCCGGACACCGCCACGAGGCGGTGAAGCGCTTCCCACTCCACGCGAGTGAGATGGGGGAATGCAGCATGCTCCAGGGTCGCCCCGGAGATCTGGACTTGGCTCATCGTAGACTTGGTCGTTGGAAGGACTACTAAGTGCTACCAGGTGTAACGGGGTAAGAGATACCGTTACTAGCTTACACTATAGTGCGGAGGAAGCTCGCAATAATAAAACCAAGTCTTAGGTTTGTGTCAAATTCAACTCTGATTTATTTAGGACCAGGGCGGCTACCCCTGGCCTCGTGTGAACCACTCAAACACATGTCTATATCTGATTGGTCAATAAGTGAGTCTGGCTCCTCACTATCAACCAATCAGATGATGACACTTTGGCACACGCTACCCGTGTGCCACTTTACCTACTTATGTAATAACTAAAGAAATATCTACCTACTTATGTAATTGGAGTTGGGCCCATTACACCACCGCTTAGCCGCTGGGTTGGGCTCAGCACATTCGGTGCGCGCGCTAGGTGAACATATAAATAACTTTGTGCAATTATGATAGTGACCTAGTGTGTGGCGAAAATGCTCGCCTTAAAGTTGTGGCTAGAGATGCATTATGGCACGAAGGGCATCCAGTCAGGTCAAACTCGGTACTAAATGGTTTTGTCTTCGCTGATTGCTGCGAGTTTTCAGGCTGAAAGCTTAAGTTCTCACACACTACAGCTACACACAGCCTAATGTTCGTAATACGAGCATTGTACCTCGTTTTATTTCCCCCGAAGGACTCTTTCGTCGTAGTTTTAAGCTACCATGCCACTCTGCGTGATAAAAAAAGTAAAATGTACCCTGCTGTGAATAAGAAATGTTGGTTATATTCGACGCGTTTATTATGGCCTTGTTCTAAACACAAACGTCTAGTAAATTTAAAAACGGGAATTTGAAATGTTATGGCTTCGCACAACTTTGTTAGAAACGGAGCCAATTTAAACTCCAATGACATTTTAACAATGTTTTTTCGCTTTCTAGCTCGCTTCACTTTAGGATCATTGCACCACCACGCTGCGGTAGATCAATGTCCCGCGTTCCGCGGGCCCGTTTTGCTAATAAATTATGAAAAATGCTACGTGAAGAAACAAACCGGTACGTGTTTTCCTAGCCGCGCCGAAGACGATCTAGTTGGTGAGTGATTTAATCCTACTCACGTACATGACAGTGGTCGACGCGCAAAGTCTGCCGAATCGGCAAGGGTTTTAAGCTTCTCGTCAGTCATGACTCCTGACATTCCCTTCATTTCTTACGCAGCTGATTCTTTGTGACGGGGTCGCACAGCACCTCGCACAGATGGAGTGTTTAAGGATATTTACTACCCGAGTAAACGCTAGCTCACGTGTTCTCAGCCTCAGAGGGAACGGTTTGCTAATAGAACGGTTTGCTACTTAGAAGAGTAGATGTAAGAATATAATTAGGCTTAGCTTGGGTTCTATACAAACTAAAGGTAACCTATAGTGGAGCTAAGTAGTCATGCCCTGACTGGCTCCTAGGGCATCTGGTCCGTGTACCAGGTGTCCACAAGAGTGACGGGGTACTCCTTATATAGCCTCGGGTACACTGGATTGTACTTCCCATAAAACTGATAATCATTTGATTTTCCAACGACAACTGATTCTCCAATACAGAAGTGAGAGAAATAAAGCACCCAAAGGTGAATTCTCACACTGAGTAGCCACGAGACTGTCGCGGCTCTCAGTCACACCCACAGTGACTTGTGCACTCAAAAGTCACTGGGATTTGCATCACTTGGCTCACAACTGTGCTGGCCGCAACGCCTACACTCAGTGTTGCCTTAGCTCCTGCGATAGCGCGTGTACGGTTCTTCGGCACAGGTGAATTAGCATCCGAACGTGTGGCATTTGGCCACAGTGTGCACCAGAGGACACGACAGTCCTCGCAAACGCGTCCGGGGCATGGTGTCTCCCGCGAGGGACGACACCGAAAAAGGAAACACTTGCCCCAGCACTATAGGAAGCCCTCCGCTCACCTCGGGCTATGCCTTTGGCTCCAGCAATGATCCAACCTTGCGGGCGGAGCTTCTGCCACTTCTCTTTGCATTTTGATCGTTTTACCAACGGCGCGTAGGTGTCCTTCATCGACACCATGTACCGTGATGGTACTTAGTCGTGATGCAGGTGTCTCATTTCGACACCATGTACCTTCCGGTACTAGCCTTTGGTGCGGCACGCCCACCACAAGGTTGTCATGTTCGGTGACAACAGCTTCCGCTGTGCTGTCGCCTCGAATGATTCATGACCAGTGCTTGCATCATGCACGACACATGTGCAAGCACAGTGTACAGGTCCGTGGGCCCGTACACCAGGTACGTTGTGTACGACACGTACCACAGCTACCATAAGTGCTCCGTGCACTTCATGTGTGTCATGCACGACGAGTTTATTACGCGGAACCCCCGGCAGGCTGCTCGACAGCAGCCAGTGTCGATGCACGGTACGTGCTCAATCTCACAGTGTATACGCCCAGAGCAGCATCGGGTCGTGGTATGGCGCATATCCTTTGCACCCATAACAGTGTGTGCCATCGACAGCATGTACCTTGATGGCACTCGACCGTGGTGGGGCATATCTCACCATCATGCCACTGCGGCGTTGGTGTCTGGCATTGACACCGAGTACCCCATGCGGTACTGAACCATGGTGAGGCAAGCAACCATCACCACGGTGTCATGCTCGGCGCGGCACCAGCTACAACTGGGTGCATTGCCTCGACCACCACCTGGTCAGTTGTGTGTGCACTCGTGCACTACACTTGGGGTATGGCCCCACGGCCCATTATACCCGGCGCATTGCGTACATCACGTACCGCAACCACTTTGTCGGCGGGTGAGACGCTCCGTTTAGGTCTTCCATGACCAAGGGGCCTGTGCGGTGATAACACCAGGCTCGAGCTTCACCTCGTGTGTGTTTGCATGCACCACAGCACTGCTGATTCGCTCAGCGATTCCGAGTCACCTAGCGCCAGTGGTCCCGTCACCACCATGTCTTGTTTGGCTAGCGCACCGCAGCTGTAGTCCGGCTGTTCACCTCCAGCCTGCAGTCGATCTATATCGACGGCTGGTTCCGTAAGGAGCTTGGTCTTACCTCAAGACCAGGGAGGAAAGGTATTTCCAAGCCTCTCTCCACTTAAACTTGAGACCGTTGAGTCTCTCGTGGCTTGTGATAGCCACTGGCAGCACGACGGCTACCTGCCTCGTGGAAAGCCAGGGAGGAAAGGTATTTCCGAGGATTGCTTATTGGTCCTAAAGGCGCACGTCAAAGAGTACCTCGCTATCTATCGAGAGGATATCTGCGATCGGAGCAACATGGTTGACAATGTAGGCTTCGTTCTAACCGTGAAGGAGCGCACAATGCGTTTCCTTGAGCGAGCTGTTCGCAACAGTATCGAGTCCATTGCACCTACGCTGGTTACTAAATGGATCTCCATGCACGCAACGCGGTGAATGCTGCGGAGGAAATGAAGGACATGATCCAAGAGAAATAGGTTGATGGAAAGTGTCTCCATCTGTTCACTTTGAATGCATCAAAGCTCATTTTGATTTTGGATTCGCTTACCCTCAATCTGATTTTTTACTAATGTCAATTTGTCAGTATCACTTTGAATGAAAATAATCTCGAATCGACCGGGCAAAGGTGTAGTATACTGTAGCAATGAATTAAAATACTTTGAAGTATCTCACATACATTCGGGTGTCGTAGATATCAATCCGAGTCAAAATAGCACTTCACGTTAGCTACTACTGTAAGATATGTCGTGATGTCAAGTACTACAGAATCTCGTTCTTAATGCAAGTCAGCCGCATGTTGCTTTATTATTTGAGCAGCATCACTGACATCCACCTACCCACTACATGCTCACCCCAGTGTTCTTCAGCACTGGGTTCTTACTCTGCTTCCTGTACGGCATCTCAGTCGATAGTTGTTCTTCATTCAAAAAAATCATGCTAAGGGTGCACAAGTTGCTGTTGCATCTGTGCCTGCATCGCCTGTTGCTGCTGTAGCTGTTGCGCGGCAATCTCCTGTGCGTGTTTCGCACAGTGTCCGTTCTTCTGAGCCCACTTGGTACAATTGGGGTATTCACATCTCTTGCCACCTCCGTGGCCACGACAGAACCCTCCCGACTGGCAACTTTTGGTGCATCCCTCGAACTTGCAACGCACTCCGCCACCGTGTTGCTTGCACAGACCTCGCGACTGTGCCGTCTTGGGACAACCCTCGACATTGCAGGGTTTGCCGCCACCGTGAGCGATACACAAGTGGCCAGTCTGAGCGCTCTTCATACATCCGTCCACCTTGCATCGTCGTCCTCCACCGTGCAGCTTGCACATTCCTTTAACTCGCGCTGCGTGGTTGCAGCCCAGCGCCGAGCACAGCTGCGTGCCATTGGCGTCAGTCTTGATAGGTTTGCCGTTGTGTGTCGATATCCGCATTTGTTGCTGCGGGAGGCCTCGCATCTGTTGCTTCTGTGGCAGGAGAGCAGCTCCCGGCTGCATGAGCATACTGGGGAACTGAGGCATGGGCTGGTTGGCGCCAACGTATCCGGGCGCAGACATCATGAGTCCGTTCTGATGTTGTTGCTGCAATAACGCGTTCTGATACAGCTGGTTGTACTGCTGCTGTTGCTTCTGTTGCTGCTCTTGACGCAGCAATTGTTGCTGCAAAAGTTGCTGCTGCTGTTGCTGCTGGTACGACATATTCTGCTGCGGCATGGCCATGGTAGGTAAGTTGGCAGGTGTGGCCACTGTCGGGTTGTAGCCCTGACTGTCCAAATACTGACCATAGCTCGGTGCTGGCGGGGCCATCTCTGTGTACATGTTCCGGGGTGGGTTCAGTAGCGTCTGTGTGTCCACAAAACCCGCCGACTGAGGTTGCGACGACGCTGACGCACTGGTCGGTGCGGTTGACGTGCCGTTCGAGCCATGGTAGTCCAGTAGATTGTCCAGATTATCCACCTGCACCACGTCGTCTCCTCCGTAGTCTTCGTTGTCGATAGCCGAGACATCCGTCTCAATCGACTCGAGAGTTCTGGCTAGATGTTGGAATCTGAAACTGTCCTGACTCGTCATGGGTTTCTGAATCGCCTGGTTGGACGTGGCGTTGAGCATGGCTTGGATGATCTCGAAACTCGTGGTGCGAGTGCCCATCCCTCCGTTAATTTGGGTATTTCCCGCATTCTGAGGATTCGGTGGCATGAAACTCCGCATCAGCTGCAGACTCGACAGTCTCTGTAGCGTACCGGCCTCACAGTCTTTGTAGACTTGCGTCAAAGGTTCTGGCGTGTTGCTAGCGAACGAATTGTCAATGAAGCTCAGTAAGTGTCGTAGACTCTCCTTCTTCTCCGTCATAGAGAAGTCGTTGGAGCTCAGCAGCTTCTTGAGAGACGGTTTACTGTCTACTTCTGGCTTGGCGTTCTCGGAGCTCACGAGGAAGCTGCCGCCTGCGTTCTGCGAGCTCATCAAGCGTTGCGAGGGCGGCTGTTGGTCCAAAAGACAAGCCAGGACGTCCTGGATACTGGCCTCGCGATGTAGAGGCTGGCGGAAGTCCTCATTGCGTGCAAATTCCGTCTTAACCATGGCCAAGTCTCCGGTTGAGAGCGACACGGGCGTCTGGTGCTCCACTGCGGACGTGAGTCGCGCCTTCATATGCGTCCAATTGGCCAGTTGCGCGGGGGAGAACAGCGACGTGTCCACACAGTCCATCATACTTCGAAGAAGCTCTGGGTTGACGTTAGAGACGTCGATGTTGGGGGGCAGAGACGTCGGGTTGGAGCCTGGTTGCGCCATGGTGAGCGGTTCGCTTTGACCGGTGGCTTTTTGATTGTGTTCCCCCCTAGAGAAGGAAAAGGAACCTCGGAATTAGTGCTGGCGAATCAGAACGGGTGGAACGGATATTTAGCCAATGAGAGATAAAAGATGAAGCTCGTTTCATGTCGCGTAATGTTGAACATTGCATTTGTAAAGGGTGGCAATAGAGGGCGGCTTTTGACTCAAAAGGCACAAAAGATTTGCTCCAAGGTTGATACGAAGAGCATGATCGATATCATCATGAAAGATTGCATCGACTGTAAGCTTTCTGGGAACGGGAACAACTTGAATTGAAAATATACAGTACTTTACCTTGATCAGCGCATGGCATCGTTGATACAGAGCATAGAATACCAGTACACAACCAGCCTTTTTGTATCAATTTAAAGAGGATATTGATGGCACCGAGCACATGTCACAGACCTGAAAGGTGAAAATCCATTTGGGCTACATGCTGTAGGAAGAGCTCAATGAGCGACGCAACGAGCCGGACGAAGAAGCCGAGATCATTACAGTGTAGACGACTATTAATGGGCTTGTTCCAAAGGATAGCTCCGAGTGAGAAAACAGCAACTGCTGCTTGTTTTTTTAAAACGACTTCAACTTTCTGGGCGAATCATACTCAAGTGTAGCCATCTCTCAGCGATCTTCCCACACAACGAACATGCCAAAAACGTTGTTCCACTAAACTGTCGCACCTTCCAAGACAATTATTAATACCGTATTAATATTTTATTATTCGCCGGGTACGAACAGCGAAACTATTATAACTATTATGCTCCCAGCTTCAGCAACATAACAAGTAAATAAAGCTGATACGAGCTATTTCGGTGATGAAATACTTGGTAAATGCAATTTGCTAGCCCAAATAGGTAGCAAAATTTGTTACCATTTGATGCAGAGTCTCGGATGGACCGCTTGAAGCATCTGCCGCAAATACTGTGCCACAAAGCAATCACCCCTTTGCTTTAAACACTTTAAACGTCGAGGAGCTTCGCAAAGATGTTCCAGACGATAGAACCGTCAACGGCGGCAAACCTAGCGCGAAACCTCTTCATGTCTCCTCCGACCGTAGGCCTGGCGTGTGCTGCTTGGGGGTGAAAGGCGGTCTACAGCAATGGAATGACCAGATACAATGCCGCCGAGCCGACTACGAGCGATGGAAGCGCAATTTGGTTGGTGGTAACTGCCACTCGACATGCTAATGGCTCTGCTCGCACAGAAAGTGAACACCGCAGCGACATTTTCCTCATGACAGAGATTGAGAAGGTAAACCTCGACGATCAATGTTTATCCTTTTCTTGATAACGTGGCATTTAGGTACCACAGATAGTCATTTTGCTCTATCTGTGGACAGGATGTGTTTCGAACTCGTTGTGAGCTCCCACTTTTCGCAGGAGGTGGCAGTGCACAACACGCCACAGCAACAGATGCTGTACATCATCTTTGTCTTTGCCAAGCTGCGTTCGGACGCGGATACGCTCAAGGCATGGATCTTATTCTAGCACGAACGACCGCGTCGGCGTCGGAAGTGGAGACCGATGCTTACCACATTTTCGTATCGGTAATGGCCTCACTTAAAATACTGTATACTCGATCATCAGAAAACCCTCTTGGCGGCAATAACTAGCAATTTGCAAGTCGGTGCTAGTCGCGCCATTTGCAGCTTGCAAATGGCGCGACTAGCAAAGCTCCTCCGACAGCACGACGCTGCTCTTTGGCAGCACCTGGTACGAGACTCATCGCGTAACTATCTGTATCCTCGCCACTAACAAAGATATATATATATATAAATGCACTTTCATTAGCTCGGTGGGGCTGCCCCCCAGCTCTCGGTGATACGTTGCACTCTTAGCCCGCGAGTTCTCCATTCCCGACACTCTTCTCATCTGGGACGCTCTCCTCGCAGATCCCAAGCGCTTCAGCTTCTTACGCTGTGTCAATTGTGCCCTCATCCGCTCCCAGCGCAGTTTCCTGCGGTTCACCAAAGGTTTCAAACGGTTGCAAACTCTCCAAGCATCCAGCAAAGACCTCAGTATTTACCAAATTGCCGAAGTCGATATGTAGCCATTTACAAAAAACTGCCATAAATAATTTTTAAAAAAATCAAGTCGTACAACCGTATTGTGTTCTTCATCAACTGAGTGGAGCTCCTCGGCCACAGTAAATGCCCCGGAGTCGCAGTCGCAGTGCGTCTCCGCCCCGTCATCGTCGCCACCGCCGCCACAGTCGCAGCCGCAGTCGCTCGCCTCGTCGCCGCTCAAAATCTCACAATTCGCACCGGAATCGCCACCGGAAACGCAGCACACGACGCGAGATGCCGAAGAAGAATCGGATCCCCGACAATTGGGACGATGTGGCCAAAATGGGTACACTAGTGGGCACCTCTCACTTCCTGCCGCTTCGGGTGCCTTTGGACGCTAAGTATCTGCCTCAATTCCACAATAAAAGGGAGGAAATTTGGACTCCGAAGGACTTTTTGGAGACCCAAGAGGCCCAAAACTTGAACGTCAAGATGATCATCGACCTTACGAATACCTTCAAATATTACGACGGAGAGCGTGAATTTAAGGACTCGGGAGTGGAATATGTCAAGCTCAAGATCGAGGGATTCAACGGACCTCCGGATGGTCGTGACGTGGACCAATTTATGAACATTGTCGACGAATTCGTTGCCAGGGAGTCAGAAGGGAATATTGCGATGCATTGCACTCACGGGCTTAACAGGACTGGATATCTCGTTGTCACGTATATGGTCGAGAGGCTGGGCTACACTGTCACAGACGCTCTGGAAGCTTTCAAGGTGGCTCGACCCCCAGGACTCATCAAGCACATGTACGTCGAGGATCTGTACAAACGACTTGGAGAGGGAGAAGAAGTGAAGTTGCCGGAATTACCAGAGTGGGCGAGCGCCAAGTACGGCAAGAGAGCGCACGAAGGGAAAAAGAATAACTATCGGGGCAAGCACAGGAATCACGGAAGAAGCGAGAGGAACAAGCCACAGGGCACGCACAGAAGGTTCGAGGAAGAGATAAAAGAAAAATAAATGTTTTGAGTATAAACTACGGCAATTGTTGGAGTCGACAGTGAAGTGCGTTTTGGATGACGTTGCGACGCTTGTTGACAAGAACCTGGCGGGTTTTCAGAAGCTGCTGGAGCTCGCGGGTGAGTACGATGGACTGAGAGTGGCAAAGAGCAAGAGATCTATCAGTCGTAGAGATCATATGTGGAAGCTCCAGTGGTGTCACCTTTGTGTGGGTTAGCTTGACAGATACACGGATTCGCGCTGATTGCTCGCGTGGTTTTTTCTCAAGAATTTGCTGGCGTAGTGTTGGAGGCATAATATGCCACTCTTTGTGCTCTTTTTGGTCTAAGAGTGAGCGCAAAAAGATCGTCACTTCACCTGCGACGTCTTCTCGCTTCGAGTCTACAGCTTGGATGCCAAGCTCCTTCTGGACCGACGACACGGCTGCGATATGGCACGGGAACTCCCACAGAGGATTGCGGTCAGCGACGCGCATCTCCGACTTGAACACTTCCGTACTTTGAAGAATTGAAGTTGACCTCAGGAAGACGCGCACGTAGGGATCAAGCTACAGAAATTAGACAGTTAAATATTATATGCATTTGAATCTTCAGTCTGAGAAGACTAAATCGTACCATGTCTCCTATTCGAGGGTCGCGGTATGGTAGATTCTCCCCTTGTTCGACGAAAACGTCGAGCGTTGCCAGACTTTCCCCGTTTGTGTCTCTTGAGACACCGCTCGATGCGTCGAAGTGCTCGTTTCCCATTGCTGTCTGCAGTTGGTCACAATGATCCTACAGAAACACATCAGAGCTCGATAGAAAGAGGATTACGTCGTATCATTTGGTGTGTGATACCTTGAGAGTGTGTTGGAACGAGTTCCATTCCGCTTCAAGATCGTCTGGAAGTTGATCGGGTGGGGGTCGGAGTGATGTCGGAACGACGACAAGTGTACACTCGGAGCGAGTCATTTTCTTCCTTTTCCTCGCTTTCCTCGAATCGACTTCAAACCAATGCCTCGCACAAAACGACAGGATGTTGAGAATGGCTGCTTCTGGGATAAAACAGGGTCGTTCACTGGCACGAAGTCTGTCTACAGCCTCTTGAATCTCTAACAGCAACACACGACGCTCGGTGTCGTATCGAGAATCGGCAGCTTCGGTCGCCGAAAGCCGCCGCAATAGCGTCGGCTCGAAGCTGCTTCCTCGAATGTCCTGGTCGTAGCGGACTTTTGCCTCCACACATTTCCGCTGAAGTGTCTGCTTCGATTGGGTCAGTTCTCTACGTGTGGCTACCTTTTCAGCCTCGTACAGATCCCGCTGACGTTTCCTGATTAACGCGTAAGCAAGAGAGACTTGTCTAAATTCGGTAGGGAATAGCGCTGCGTTCTCACTGGACCAGACTTGACACGCACGTTCAATGATCTCCCGATTCGCGGCATCTTTTAGACAGTCGAAGACCGTCTCGCCCTGTTCGTCCTCCACGTGAATGTGAGCACCTTATCAAAACATAATTCTCAAGTTATGATTGGATTTTATGAATTACGACGAGGCATGTCTTACCATATCGTAAGAGTTCTTTCAGGACTGGGGGGTTTGCACGACCGGCAGCTTCCATGAGCGCTGTTCGGCCTGTCTTGACGTGCGCGTGGTCTACTCTAGCTCTGCTCGATAGCAAGCGACGAGCAACTTCTAATTGAGCGCTCTGACACGCAGCGAGTAGTGGAGTCAACCCCATGGCCTTCAGATTTAGCACCACAAAGTCAGTTCTAGAACTGTATGACACTCTAGATTTTAGCCCACGTACACTCTCGGCATCAGCGCTGAAGCCCATAACAAGCAATGTTTCAACGCGGTCCACGTTGCCTCGCATCGCTGCCTCACGAATAGTCTGCACATTTTCTTTCTGGCACATTCAAAGCTAGTGAGAAGCAGGTCTCTGAGGTTCAGATTGAGTAGATCTCGCTACCCTTTTGCCTTCATAGAGATCGCGTAATAGCTGCTGGTTTGCATACTTCAGTTTAGCTTGTCGCTCTTGTCGACTCTCACTCTTCTCGTCCAGCAGATTCTTCTCAAAGCGTCGCATGGCACGAGCGATCTTCCGACGATGCCGAAGCATTAACTTGAGCTTTTCGTCCTCACACTTCTTTTTGAATGACACGCTCTCCTCGCGACGCTGCTGTCGATCTATCAAGCTCAGCTGTACAGCTGGATCATAATTCGACTCTACCGGGACTTCGATCGGAGCGTCAGTGTCATTATTCAAGTCTTGGGACGACTCAACGGGGTCTCGAGCTGCCAAAAGAAGTGGCTTCTTCCACGACGACAGGCCAGTGCGTAAGTTGCAGTAGTAGGCCAACCCACTCACGGTATCCCAACATTTAAGATACGAGCTATTGGCCAGCTCGACGGCTTCACGTCGCGCACGACGAGCTCGATAAAGAGTCTGAAGTCGCACCACAAGCTGCTCCGGCGCTTCGTCCACTACATTCGACATGATGTGTGTAAATTTAGTACAGCATCTAGAATTGAAGGATTTGTGCATTTCAAATTAAACCAAAACTACGTGTTAGCGGTCTAGCTGTACGTTACAAGTCACGCCCAGGCCTGGCCCGTCATAATTAGTACCTCCTGGGCGATGTCGTGGTACATTTGTTTGTACTTGAGTGGGGACGGGAATTTATGGCCTTCGTCGTGGTCGAACCTGATTCGTCTGGAGCTCGTATAGCTTCTAAACAGCTTCTCCATCAAGGGAACTCGGGGATCCGCCTTGCCCATGACATGGACCGACGGGACGTTGATGGCCCCGTCGACTGAGCTTTTGGCTGCATCCAGCAGCTCCAGCGTCTCTGGGCTGCGAGGGTAGAACCCCCCTACCAGAACACAAGCTTTCCAGGGCACATGACCGTAGAACGAAAGGTAGTGCGCTGTCAACAAGGTGGCAACAGCTGCCCCCTGCGAAAACCCCAATATAGCATCCACAGAGCCGAGAGCCTGAACTTGACCCACCAGGAAGTCTAGAGAATGTTCGAAGCCCTCGTAGCGATAGGTATCGCCGTCCTCGCGCTTGAGCGCGTCCCACCACTGGTAGAATGGGCCGTTCTTGCCGTAGAACGAGCGCACCAGCTCCTGTGCGGGACCCGATGCGGGCCAGGGAGCGTCTACATACACCAATTCGGCCTTTGGGCCAAACGCTTCACGTAGAGCAGTTGTCTGGCGCTGTAAGATGCTGCCGCTGGTTCGCCACCCATGGAGACACAGCACCCGAATTGGACGTGGCATTTTTTTTAATTAAAAGTGGAATATGAGTCATAAATATTTCAAAGGATACAATATTTATCAGAAAAGAGAGGCTATGTACTAGTGGTGATTGGCTGAAAATAAAGGCTTCTGACGAAAGTCGGTGATTGGCCGAACCTCTTCAACTTCGTCAGATCCTCAGTATTATTGTAGCCGGCGCGCTTCGAGTTTTGACGCTCCGGCGCAGTTACCCAATCAACCGCGTTTATAGCCGTGAGGTGGCTCGACTTGCTAAATCACAACGCAGGGTGGGACCCCGTCGACGGATGCAGCATCACCGATTTGCATCACAGTGTCCATGTTTGGAGGTTGATACGAATAAGCCGGATAATGGTCGTGCCCTGTACAGGCAAATCGCGTGTGCCCCCTGACATCAAAACCCAGCCCAGACGATGTTGATTGCAATTACCGATGTCGATAGCAAAGAGTATAAGCTCACGTACGATGGCACATGTATGCAGCTGTGAAAATAATGGATAGAGAAGAGCATGATCTTGGAATTCGTTTCTCCACCGTGCAGAGCCAAGTTTTGCACTGCTTTTTTAGGGCTTGGAGGGGCTCAAAATATAAATTATGTCACTCTGACAAAATCAGACGGGGTTTTAAGCCAAGGTGTACAGCTGAAGCTATCGTTCTCCGGAACACAGCACCGGATTGCATTCTTTAATCTAGACCAAGTTACAGTGGTACAAGGACTAAGACCCCGTGGTACTCACGCGTATTGTGCGGGAAACAACACTCTTTTCTTTTTTTAAAGTTAATTGAGCTGTTTAAAAGGGCGGTTCTTCACTTGGAAAAATGAAGTTACCGGTATCGTGATTATTCAACCAAAAAAAATGAACCAACGGAATGCAAAACCAAGATTTGTTCGTCAATAATTAAAAGCGGGAAACACATGCGGAGTTGGGGTAACTGATATTTACGATTAGATTGGAGGTGGACCCAATCAGCGCTTGGCACCGTTTCGCGCTGTACTAGTCGAGTCTGTGTCCACTCCATGTGCCCCATCACATTGCTCAGCTAAAAGAACCCTTTCACTCATTCTCCATTTTGCAGCGTCAAGTGCACATTTCTCAGCTCGATAGCGCAATGGCGTGGCTGAAGGTGCTTTTCGCCTCTTTGGTCCTGGTTACGAACACACCTGCATCGACCAGTGTGATCGTCACCAAGAATGGTACACCTCGACCGACATTTGCCACACCTACTGTAGTACGACGATCTGGTTCCGGGTCGGCACCATTCGTTTCTGGCTCCGGATCCATTAAAGCTATCATCGAGGCGCTCTCATCCTCAGCTTCAGGCTCCACATCGGGGACGGGCGCCATATCATTCGCAGCAGTCTTTGACGCGTTTTCGACTTCAGGATCGGGATCATCGAGGTCTTCACGGCCATCAGCATCGTCGCTGATGGCTTCGGGTGAGGAGTCTAGAGTGACGGTGACGTCCAGCTCGTCGTCCAATTATTCAGCATTGATCACCTATGGCTCAGGCGCTTCGTATAAGCTCGCAACTCCGCTCACTGCTAAGAGTTCCGTTGTACCGACGTACCGAAATTGGGTAGGCCCCCCAGAACTGCAAGGTGACGCTGCCTGCTGGCGGGAGGCTCATATCATGGACAAATGTCCGTCCAACTACGACCGTCACGAGGCCACCAACACCTGCTGGGCGGAATGTCCGATCGAGTTCCCAGTGAGATGCGGCATTGAGTGTGTTCGTCAAAACGACGACTGTGGTCGTGAAATCTTCTACAAGGTCTCTTCACTTATCAATGTCGGTCTCAATGGAATCATGGACAACTGGTTCGGCAAGTTTTCTCTTATGGCCAAGAAGGTTCGAACCGCCGTGTATTGTTCCTGTATGATCCTTGGTTTGATCCGAGCCATGCTCCGATACATCCGCAGTGTCAAGAGCGCAGACCCTCAAGCTTCTCAGGACAAAATCCTAACTATGTTGTACCAATCAAACGCTGTGGTGGTGGAACTCCCCATCACTGTCAAGTTCTGCACGGGTGATAAGCCAACCAGAGCGTGGTGGGTGGCAGACCGAGTCATGGCTTCGACCCAGTATATTTTGACGCAAGTTCTTTCGCACGATGATGAGCTGATCACAAGCTGGAACCGGTTCAAAGCCTTCATTAAAGGCGCAAACTTCACAGCTCCACCGGAGATGATCACTAAAGGGGAGATCGGATACCTCACGGACGCTCTGAAGTCCAAATCGACTTGTGGCCACGACTTGCAAGGACTGGTCGATCGTACTTGGGCTACGATTGGGGAGCTTCGGGAACAGAATCCTGGTATTACTGAGGATCAACTGCGACTTGCAATTGAGGATACTGAGCTTGTGAAGACAGACATTGCCATGGTAACAAGTAATTGCATGGAGCTGCTCGTTGAACAATCCAACGATGTTACTGCGTACAGGACTCGTGACAAGATCCGAAAGACTTTCGGGGTGATCATCAACGACCTTATTACGAAGGGGAAAAGCAACAACGGCACGTCGTACAAGGCCAACGAGTACACCTACAAGGCACTAAACCAAGGCCTCAACTTTTGGGTTGTGACGGGCTTCGATATGACTGGTATTTCCAGTATGATCTCCGATTATTTCATGGCTATCTGCGGCCCCACACAGTTTATCGGAGAGGTGGACGATGGTACCCATCCGCATACACTTGGATTGAAGACCGTCCAGAAAGCTTTCCAGAGCAGTACCATGTCTTGGACGAAAAAGGGAGACGGTGAGGTGATCATCAACTTCAGCAGTTACGATACGAAAAATGTGACGGTAAACATCATGTCTGGGGGAGACAAGGTCGACGAAGTGGACGTCGCTGCAAGCGGAAAAGCCACGTGGAAATCGACTGTGAAGAAGCTGGGCGGCAAGACGCTGTATTTGGATCGATGGCGTCCAGGCTTCTTGGGTCTTCCGGGCACGGGAGGTGGTTCTTTGATGTTGTGGCTACCCCACGCTGCCGAAGGTGGTCATTTGGATCTGAATGTGAGGTTGAACGTGAGTTAGAACAGACGAGAGATATCCTAAGGGGGTCTCGTATTATAGAGATAGAGCTAGTTGTTAGAGTGAGAGTGAAATATTTTACGAGCAGCAATGAAGCTGCAAAATAGAAGAAATTGAATTACTGATTCGATTCGATGCTACTGTAAAAGTCGATACCTCTTTAATTAACGTTAGTATTCGTTTTAACTTGTTCTTCTGTTATAACTTGCCTTGAGGAACACCTCATCACGTATAATATATTGTGAGGGCTGCATGGAATTAGATCGAATTTGGCAATAACGAGCTTCAAATATAAGTGAGACAATAAATTTTAGTGACCCAAACTAACGCTCGCTGCTTCATCACGTTTCCTGTAGAGCAGTCGACAGGAAACCGGACACTCTGTTGATAAAAACTACTCGCTGAAGCGATAGATTTGAAGGGGAAAACGTTACTGTAAAACCTCCGGCAATCCTCGTGCATGCAAGTCACTACTACACGAGTCTAACAACGCGAGTATTTAGTCGGCAAGTCGAGTGATAAACAGCGTCGAGGTGTTTGCAAGCATGCACGTTACTGTAACCAACAATTCATCGTTGCTCTTCAGACGCGCAACTGTCATCGGGGACGCGATGCGGCCATCTTCCGCGAAATAGCCATACTGAATGCATTCGCCATTCTTGAGCAAGCTCACCTCTTTGTTATCTTCATCCTCCTCATCGTCATCATCCTCTTCACCGTCATCACTAAATCCATCTCTCTCGCTGTCTCTCTCGATCACTGCTGCGATGAGGTACACCCCGTCGCGACGAATTTTCAGCGTGCCATCGTCGCAGTTCTTGACAAGCTCGTCGGATCCATTTTCGATCCATTTTATTCTCTTGCTATCGTCAAACGTGCGTACAGCCTTGAACTCGGCCAAAGAAGTTGGTGTGGCCTTTACAACCTCGAGCTTATCCAGTTTCTCTTGTTGTTGGCGCAGTTTAGCCTCTAGGGTGTTGATCTTCTTAAGCTCCTCCTCGTGGTCGTACAACTGTGCCTCTAAAATGTCAATTCGCTCAACAGAAACCGGATCGAGTAGAAACTCGAATTTGGCTTCCCACGTCGCGTGCAACACACGAAGCTTTAGGATAAACCTTAGCTCAGCAACTCCATTTTCCCTCTCCGTTAACTCTCGCCGAGAGTTGTTATAATCATTTGGAGGACACGAAAGCGCTCCTTGAAAAAGCTTTTGAGAAACGCTGTGAGTACGTCAAGGGGGCTAGCAAAGCCAAGGAGAAAAGTTGAAAGCAGAGAGCAGGCATACCTGGAGATAGTCCTCAGTCGATGCGCCAATGAGCGCGTTGTCAGCCGTCACATAGACCTGCTTGTCCAAATCGCCCGTGTACCTTGAAGCAAGAGCGCACAAATTGTTATTTTGTCATGGAGCTGGCAATGGCGAGCTATCAATGTCCGTACCACTGCTTCTTGCTATTGCGGTTCTCCATCCAAATGCTCAGCTTGTTGTTCTTAAGCTCGATGGCGTAGCGATAAAGCCCAGACAAGAATGAAGTACACCCTTCAAACTTGCTATCTCTTGTGGGAACTTCTGTAGAACCATGAACTAGTTCAAATTCAATCAGCATGTCCTTGGTAGGGAACGACATCTTCTTTGTCGGTTTAAGGCAAAATCAGTTATGCAAACAAGAGCGGCCAACAAAGGACGCTGCTCTTTCCCGAGAACTTTACAATGAAAGATTGGTGATTACATCGAGTTATTCTGGTAATTTAACATGATTTTTTTTCTTAAGTCACAAACGTCAATTAGAACTCTGATTCCGAAGTGTAGCGGGGGTCTTCTATTTTCTTTTTGTCGCAGATCAGACGAATCGAAGCAAATTAAAAGAAAGTAAGGTCGAAAACCCCACATTTTGCTTTCGTCGTGGGCGGATCATGGGTAACTTAATCACCCAGCCCTTTCTCTCGTACGTTTAGTTTACTTTTTAGTAAAAAGTTTTTACAAACGACGAAAACAAAATACGGGGTTTTCGACCTTACTCTTTTCAATTTGCTTCGATTTTTCTGATCTGTGCTCATAGCGAAGGCTTGAATTTGTTTCGGTTTGTCTGGCAGAGGCAAAATAAAAGTGATCGCTCGGGAGGCACCGAGTCACTAACAGGGTAATGCAGTCACCTAGTCCTTTCTCTTATACATCGTTTCGTTTAGTTTACTTTTTACGAAGTATTCAACATCTCACGTCACAGAAAATCCATGAATCTGGCAAGACGTGTGCTACCGTTTGTGCCTATCAGTGACGCGGTGTCGCCCGAGCGATCACTTTTCATTTTGTCTCCGCCAGACAAATTGAATCAAGTCCTAGCCTTGTGATCCGTTAGGCATAAGGTTCAACGTCGTTGATGTTGCTGAAACCAGCGAGCCCCCCCCCCACCCCCTCAAAGCCTGTTGGTCTCTTTCTCCAACCCGAGATCGGAGCTGAAATGCTGTTTAAGACTTGATGGATATGGACAACGAGGACGTGTGGAGTAAGCGCTGTGGCCAGCCTGTCCAAAGTTCTGGTCGAGCTCATGTCGAGCGTGACGAGACACACATGTACACCAGATGCTCGAAGACCGAGTAACGAAGAGATATTAGGAAAGTAAAGTGGAATTAGCATTGGATCCCTTAGACACCGGCTCATTGCACTGTAATCACCTTGCAGAACCGTGTGTTTACCACGGAAAACATATGCGAGTGGTATAAGTTTCTATCACTCGAGGGGCCGTACCTTTAAGCGTCACCAAGCTCTCGTCCAAGTCGACCACACCCGGAATTCTCAAAGGGCATCCGTTCCTTGTATAGCGTCAATATGAAGCCGTTCCACGACCTACAAAGGAGATCAGTCTATCTACCGAGCCTAAGCGTAGGGGTAGATCGACTACCCCTTTAGTCTTCAGAGGGTGTCCTGAGACCACATTTAGGCTCTGCCGGTACTGTCGAAGAGGATCTTGGCTTCATCCTATTCACTTCAAGATTCAAAGATGGATTAGGTAGGCGCCAGCTCCCGTGTCAATTAGCAGATCAGTGGGGACACACCGGTTGAAAGCACTTCGACTCTTCTCACCGAGACAATCACTCTCTTTCCCTCCAGAAAAGCGTCAATCTCACCGTCACAAGTATCCGGCTCTTTGACAAATTCTCGCAAGCCCGGTTTTCTCTTGAGAACGGTAGGGGGGGGGGCAGAGATCAACTTAGTAGTCCGTTTTTTTGTCAGTGGAATTGTGCAGGTTTATCACCTCTGACCTGTTGGCGGAAGAGAAGTACAGTCAGATCGAATCTGTTTCAGGGAGGCATGCGGGACCGTTCCGCGCGATCTTTTCCCGCACTTGTGGCACGGCGTGCTCCTTCCCAATAGCTCCATTCGCACTCCCGCTACCTCCTTCCTCTAGGACTCCTCGATTTCCCTTACGATTCGAGCTCGAAGAGCCCCACTTTCCATTCTGACAAAGGAGCCTATCACTCGTTTTGCCCTTTTCACTAAGTCTTGCTTTCGTCAAGGAACGGTCTCCCCAGAGAGGAAGTGCTCTTAACTAGGGAAAGAAACGGTCTCCCCAGAGTGGAAGTGTTCTTAACTAGGAAAAGAAAGTCTGGTCGGGAGGGCACAGCAGAGCGCACGAAAGCGCTGGGATTTGATAGACCGGGGGTAGCAAGTGCAAGGAGAACGCATCGTTCGGGCTGGAGCGGAACGAGTTGTTAGCTTCGACGCTCGAGACGTTCAAGGTAGAAGAATGTAAGGGAATTTAGGGCATGGGGTTAATGGCCTTGTCGTGAAAGAGATCCGGCAATTTCGATTGGAATTGCTGTGCGAGGGTGTGCGAAGAGAGCTTGGAAAAGCGGTTGGAGTAGCCATGTTGAAGTTTTTGGTCGCAGTGATTGATCTGCGAAACGCTGTCGCTTGTGATGCGACCAGCTAGGTCAGCCTGGAACGCTTTCAGGTAAGTGATGGCACACGGCTAGTGCAGCGGGGCCGCCGTAACTTAAGCGTCAGAGGAAGTCGTTCGACTCAAATGGTCACTAATACTAAGTTCCTTAGGTAAAAGCCAATGCGTCCTACAAAATGTCCTAAACCGGACTATAGATTACTTGCAGACAAACAGAAAAAGTGACAAGTTTAGGACGTTACGACAAGTTTTAGGACAATCCTGTCGAAATTTATGTTTTCTAATAGGACAGTTATAGGACAATTCTGTCGAAATCTATTTGGCTTAATGGGACAACACCACTGTCCAAATAGGACACTCGACTGAGTACTATTAATGGGATATCCTCTAAAAGAATGTGTTTAGGCCTGACACTGTATTACGATTTCGCATTATCTGGCACGCGTCGAGTACAGTTTCGAGACGAAAGTAGCATAGCTGGCCGGAACTTGAAGGTCTTCCTGCGTTTCGAGGGTGAGGCGCATGGAAAATCATGCCAAATGAGGGCTTATAGGAGGACCGTTTGAACCCGCAGCGAAGCGGAGGGCTGCATTGGTCGGCGCGTAGCCCGGAGTAGTTCTACCAAAAAGGAAGTTACAATATAATCTGGACACTGCCAACGCGCGGGTGTCCAACCAATATTATGATTAACCATGTCTACATGTAGTACTCGTCCATCTGCCGTTTCTCTAAAACCTGTCGAGTACCCTCCGTGCTCCATAGTTCGAGTGAGATGGTCGTCCTCGGCAGCTTGTTTTGGTTTGGGTGGCTAAGGTGTGTTCTAAAGTTTGACGCAGCGCACATACTATTACGCACAACAGGTTTCGGGCAGGTTTTAGGACGTAATCTAAGTCAGTCTGTATGACAGGATAGATCATTTTTAGAACAGAACGCGAGTGAATAAAAAAGTTTAGGACAGCTTAGGACATTTGTAGGACGCACTATCCCACACCGTTCCTTATCCAAAGAAACTTACAGCCCACGACCAGGGCTCAGAGCTAATACCCTAACTTTTATGATTTAAAACCAGAGGTATTTTATTTACTATTATTGCGGCCAAGCTGCCTAGGGGTAAGTATATATGTATAACTAACTAGCATAGTTAGAGCTAATCAAATGTATAGCGTGCTGCTTTCAGCCAGCGTACTGAGAGACCTTGTTGACTCTCCAACTTATGTACTGATATTTAATAACTCTTCGGGTACTCCGTATCCCTGTGTGTTCAAAACCAAATAGCCCCGTTACAATCTCCCCCAATGCTCCAAGCGCATTGCGCATCTTGTTCTCAAGTGGTCTCAGACCTATGCATGCGCCCCGCGCCTACTTCAAGAGCCGCAAACCGCTTAGAGCTATGCTCTTGACTCACCCGAGTCGTTGACAACTGCTCAGCGGTTGAATACTCGCTTCACAAGCGATAGGTCGGTGGTTCGATCCCACCAGGGCGTCACCCTCTCGTTCCATGAACAATTGTCCTCTCTTAAGGGTAACACCCTTTTAGCTCAATGGTTGAGCGTTGGCTTTGAGAGCCACTGGTTGGTGGCCCGAACCCACCAGGGCACAGCCGTCTCGTTCCATGAGCTGTTGTTCTCTAGTGAACAAGCTTAAGAACAACACCCTTTTAGCTCAGTGGTCTAACGTTGGCTTTGGAAGCCACAGGTCGGTGGTTCGATTTCGCCCGGGCGCAGCACTCTTATACCATGCGTAGTCCGTTCTCGGATAGACGTACGGGTATTCCCCTTATATCTCAATGGTAGAGCTCCGGACTGGAAAGCTAAAGGCCAGAAGTTCGATCCCCATCTGGGAAACACTTTCGCTGTTATAGCGCATCCACATTTGGATCATGCTCATCGAGGCAAATTGTTTCAAAACAGCTATGCGTCTATCGGGACGCTTGTGCCTGAACCTTGTTCAGCACAACACGAAGCACCTGCTTCCTTCGGGACCACGTCCCCAACACCACGAGGCCTCTCAACCTCTTGCTCTCGCTGCGAGCACCGCTCATACGTACGAGCTGGCTGCTGTAGCCACCGGTCCGAGCCTGAGCTCAACTACTGACCTGTTCGCTTCCCACTCTAGTGGAAGGCGCCCAGCGCCTGGCGACGCTGTCGCACGCCATGGTGGCGCTTCGGCACAGGATGTGCCCGGTTGTAAGCGTCCACGACGTCAAGGCAATCTCGTCGGAGGCTAACCTTAAACCTCCTTGCGTTCTGTGAGGGAGGGTAATCCCTCCACTTCTCAAAGTACTGGGTACGACCCTGGCGTCTACGTCGCGCCACAATGCGTTCCACGATAGTAGCTCGCCATGCTCATTGAGCTGAGCGGGAGGAGGCCTTGTCTCAGCTGGGTTCTCGCGGGGAGAGTCAGCACTTGCCGGAACGGCGTCTCCGTCCATACGACGCCGGCGTCCACGACGCGAACGTTCACGTTTACCGCCTATCGGTCGATCTCGAAGAGATAATCCACCTTAAAGGATAGGTTACAGCCACCACTATTGACTCACAACCAGGTCTCGGACCTTGAGCGTACAGTCGCTCGGCTGGACGTTCAGCTTGCCTTGCTCCTGCATATCGAGCACTTCGCTCCGCGACCTGTGGCTCTGTCACATGCTGTTGATCAGCCATATGTGGATCCACCACTTGCTGTCGTTCAGCCTCCCGTGGCTCTACCACCTGCTGCCCTGTAGCTGCCCG